AACTAAAATTACAACTGGATATTTTCAATCTTAAAATATATTAATGTAACATTCAGGGCGAACATCATTGAACAATCCATACAAAGAGTTTTAACATTAAAACTGTGTGTTACAAATGTGCTGTGATTACTGCATAGCACTCTGTGCCTGTATTTAAATCATATGATTTAGAATTGCATTCTAAAAATAGGTCTTTGTAAAGTCACTTGTTATTTATGTGAATAAAATCTGTCACTATCACCATCAGAAAAGATAGAAAAAATACAATTCTATTTATATTCTAGAAATAATTGAACGTGCCTGCTTATATATTACTGGCTTAATGGTATAATGATGATGTATAGTGAAATATATTAGAACTACTCTGCCAAGCGATCTGTATCTGGATGCAAGTTTCTACTTCACAAGGACTTGATCTAGCTATTAATTCCCAGTTCCTCAAAGACCCGTGGTATTCATCTTAAATCCAACAACATATTAAAGAGGACCCATTCATGATAGCTAAATAAATAACTCATCAAGTTGATACCATAAATAGGTTTGCAGCCAAAAGGAACTCTCTTTTTGTTGAGACAACTGCATTGAACCATTTATTTAGGTCAAAAAAAGACACAGTCGTTTGAGTGCAGTTAGCAAACCCCATCAGACATTAATCAATTAACAGCACGGTTCAAATTTTTCAAGCCTTGGTGTGAAGCACTCCCAATATGCAATGCTGGAACAAGGGGACAGCATGCAAATTTGCCTGGATTACTGACTTTTTAAAAAATGGTTCACCGATATGTATTAATATAATTTAGGGGAAAGCAATTACAAATATAAGTCCATCGATGGGACATATCACTAAGAGAACTGTCTCACAGCTTCAGCACACAGAATTAAGTAACCACAGATCCTTCTATGGCACTAAAATTGTTCTACACTAAGAAATTTTAATTTTACCAAATACTTATTATTTCTAATAGATATTGTTTATTATTGAAAACAGTTCTTATTAAAAAAAAAAAAGAAGCTTTAAAAAAATTAGATACCTTTTTTATCAGATCCTTCTATGGCACTAAAATTGTTCTACACTAAGAAATTTTAATTTTACCAAATACTTATTATTTCTAATAGATATTGTTTATTATTGAAAACAGTTCTTATTAAAAAAAAAAAAGAAGCTTTAAAAAAATTAGATACCTTTTTTATTACTTGTGCAGAAATGCAGATAGCTGAGACAGATGGGACAATATAGGGCAGCAAAGTAAACAAAGGCTGACCCAAACAGAATCCTTACAGGGAACACATTTAAGAGAAACACAAGAGAGCTTAGTATCTCTAATCAGTTCTAAAGGATTCTGGTGGCAGACAGACTGATGGAGGCTTTCTTCAATTAAAAAAAGACACCGTAGTGACACTCTTTAACAATAGCACGATTAACAGCTGTGGCATTCCCATGACAGACAATGTTGCTCAGGTTCGTTCAGGCTAGCACAACTGTCACTGCTCACAAGATTGTCCAGATTCTCAGATCTTACATTCTCAGTTTGCCATGATCATATAGAAACCTGAAAAGTGGAAGGGGAGGGGCACCCAACAGCTTTTACTAGTAATACCCCTTACTGTGAAGCCTGAGGTAATAAAATCCCCATTTGCTACATTGCTCCATTATGGCAGAATATGGGTTTAATCATTGATGTGGGGTCAACACTGCCTACCTTAAAGGGAAAGTAAGAAGAGAATGTGGGATTGTGGACAATGAAGAAAAGGGGTGAGATGGTCATTTTGATTTATTCCTGCTAATATAGTATCAGATAATGCTCTTTTGGAGCATTTTTCCTGCTACAAAATTACACAAAGGACTGAAATCAAGACAGTTACCTCCCACTTTCCAGAGACTCACCTTCATATATGATCTTGCAAATGAAAGTATCAGCCCCAAGCACATATAAATATGTAAACTGGTGCTATTGTAATGAGGAAAGTGTGCAGAATTTGAGGCTATGGAAAGCGGAATGGGGGCATTAACTTTCTGTTCAAATTAAATATATAATTTGTAAAGCTTTCCCGAAAGCTTATAATTAAAATATATGACACAAAACACTGACAAATAAGGACCACCTCCTATTTCCCAATCCAGTTATTCTGATGAATATAGTATGACATAATGACCAAATGGGATATACAGAACTGAACTGATAAAGGCAAGGTAGATCACTTGATTTGGATCATTCAAAACAGGGTTAAGGACTGTCCATGGTCTCAGTGGTACAACTAGGGCTGCATTCTAAAAAGTACCCTACAAGTTGGTGAGCATCCAATATAACTGGCACAAAAGTGGCATCACGTGCTCAGATTTTCAGGCGCCCATCAACATTCCTGGCCACATTTTTGTAACCGATTGTAGAGTTCTGGCACTAGAGTCAAAAGCAGCCCAATGTAATGTGTCATCACACTCATATTGCCAGTATGAAATAAAAGATCCTACGTAATCTGAAAATAACTACCCTAAATTAAGGAGTTCAATTATATTCAATGGGTGGGATTCAGAGTTTTATTCTACCACTGAGTGAAATTCTCCTAGAATGCTCCTGCCGATGGATGGAAGGAGGCACTGGGTCTATTCCTCTCTTTCCAGAATCCAGCACTGTTTGGGTAAGCCCCTTCCCACAAACCTTTGAAAGAGATGTTGAGGGGATATAACGGGCAGGGTGAATAGCAACCTTTCCTCATTCAACCAGTAGAAAAGCTCCCGTGGTTCAATAGTCACCAACTGAATAAGGCATACTTCTATCCATATCCAGTGGAATGCAATTACATTCTCTAAAGGGTAGTACCCAAAACCACACTGTTCAAGGGTTTGTAAGGAAAGAGAATATCACAGATCATACATCGTAATAATCAGACTGCTCAGATCCAGTATATTCTCTCAAATAAAAAGCAACATAAATTCACACCTGGACTGCAGTACTGGAGAAAAGATATTTTTTCTGGTTGAAATTATTACTGCTTCTGTTCTAGAAGATGCTACTTTACAGCCTCGACTTTAAAAGATGGGGAGTGGGGTGGGGGGGAAGGAGGGAGGAGAAGTGGGAAAAATACTGTAGTGAAAATAGGTATTCCAAACTTTTGCCACTGACTTAGAGGAGTCAAAGGTAGAGTTGCTATAGTCCTGCTTCGTTTATGCATTCCCATGGTATTTTAAATAAATACTTTAAAATGTGGTTGACAAAGAAATGCATTGCCCAGGGACATTCATTCAGGAAATCAATCAGGCTGCCTATAATTCTCTTACAAGTATACTTTTGTCAGGAAACTGAGGTTGGCCACAGAATAGTTCAGAAATAACCTAACATAAGTAAATAGCCCATTACAATATAATAAAGACAGCAGTATAAAATAAAATAACTTCTTTGAGTTAATCCCTGAACACAGTAGAATATGAGAGCAAATCTTAGGTTTGATTTGCAAAGTCAGTTCACACAGCAATCAAGAAGTACCCAATTAATAAACTCCTGCTTCAAATGGAAGAATTGACCAAAAGCTACAATATCATCAGTGTTTCACTGACAAGACCAACAATACACAGTCTACACCTTGAAGATGTAGAAAAAAGCAAACTATTTTCTTAATAAGCAGCATAAAATAACAGTTTTTTTTTAAAAAGAAGTAATTTGAGTCAAGCTGGTTCTTCTTGCAATAATAACCACTTCACCTTTGTTTCTTCTATTCTCATTGCATCCAACAAGTAGTGGAGGACCTCCTGGCTGTCCTGCTGTTGAAATCCCTTAAACCGAGGGGCCCTGCAGAGGGAAAAATGGACAGTCTCTGGAGAAGGAATTGTAAGGCTTAAAAACAGGGGTTTAACATGTACATGCAAACATATGTTCAAGAACAGTGATGCTGTGATGGGCAGAACATTCAGAAAGAGGGCGAGACACAGGTCAAAGTGTAAGAGAAGGGGACAAAACATAGAAAGTAGCCTTAGTTTCCAAAAGGCTATAATGTATAATCCAGCTGAAAGATGGCAAGTCTTAACTATAGTATCTTGGAGACCATGGACGTAACCAGCATAGAGTAGCACTTAAGGTGTTTGACTAGCACAGGAAGACCAGGTTCTAGTCCATTCTCAGCCATGGAAGGTTACTTTGGGCCAGTCACTCCCTTTTAGCCCAATTTACCTCACAGTGTTGTTGCACCACAATCACACATCAGGTTGCAAACCACCACATCTGCTGTGTGATTGTAGTAATTTTGGGAGAATTTCTTCCCAGAAGGATTACATGAGTGGCCCACCGGCTACCTGTTAAGCCCCATACTGCAGGGCACAATCCACAAAGCAAGAACCACCCAACTGAGGAGCTTTAATGCAAGAATTAGGGGTAAGGTACAGAATCTTGGAATCTGCAATAGGAACTTCCAGCCTTCTTTTACTAAGGAGTTTATCAAGGCAGAGAAGGAGACTAATACTGAAGAATACTCAGCATACACAGTTTTAAGCTAAATTGCTAGTCCAGTCACTGCATTTGTATAAACAAGACTGCAAGATGCAAATATGATAAAGATATCATTTCATCTGGTCACTTGTGATAAAGAATGTTTCAAGGTGCCCAGGCAGGAAATTTGAAAGAAACTTTTAGTTTGAAACAGGTATGTGTGGGGAGGTGCTAATAAAGCTTTTTTGCTTATCAGAAAAACTGGAAAATCAGAAAACCCTGTCCTTGGGTTACACACCCAACTGAGCACATTTCCAGGAGGACTTTCCTCTCCATACTCAGCCAGGTCTTGGTGAGGCATGCCAGGTCGGCCTTCGCATTCACTATTAAATCATGGGTGAGAGAGACCTTATCACAGGCTGACCTGGCATTCAGCAACAGCTAAAGGCTCAGACCACTAAGGAACTGATGCCTGGATCTTGGAGTCGAGTCCAAGGGCCTGGAACATGGAGCCAATATGACACACCAAAACTACTTTCCCCATGAGCAACCCATCTCTGCCTCCCACCATTTCTCCCCTTGCCCATCACCAGCAAATTTCCAAGTTGCCCTTTCTTTGCACTGACTAGCAGAACTTGGCATATGCGCAACTGTTGTCTGTCCTTTTCTATATTTGGTATAGGCTATAATTGACAGAACAGAACTTACGGTGCTTTCTAAAAAAAACAGAATATGAGAAGAAAGAACATATTGCTAGCTTAGCTGAGTTTTAATAAAATTTCAAGGGGTTCAATTTTTATCTCCTGCCTGAGGAAAGATGTTCTGAACAGTAGTTTTAATGTATGTCAGCAACTTGTCCTTTATACAATAACTGCATTTGTCATTTGCCCTGAGAGGACCCTTTCAATAAAGACCTTAGGGATCTTCACATATTAATAACTATAGGGAGAGAATAATATATACAAAAGAATTAGGGGAAGGAAATGGGAGGAAATCACAGCATGGCTTGAAAACTTCAGAAATCAAAAGAGGCCCCACACTACAGAATAAATAGCTCTCACATTTCCCAAAGCTTTGTGAAAGTTCTAGTCTATCTCTGATAATATCCAGAGACATTGCTTTTAGGAACTGTTGAACCCAGGAGGAATAACCGGCAGTCTCAATGTAAATTTCATGCAGCCTTTGGCCTGATTTCAAACATATTTTGCAAGCCATTTGTTCAGCAATTTTGTCCTATGAAAAGCAATTCTAAAAACAATTGGGCAAAAAGAAAAAAAGGAAAAGAAAGAAAGAGAGAAGGGAGAAGAGAGGGAAAGAGAGGAAGGTGTCTCTTACTTCTGGCTCTCTCACCCTCACTCGCTTCAGTTTTGCCAGCTATCTATATTCTGCCCCAATAGATTTGATTGATTAATTGATTATGTATCAATAAGTCATTTTCAACTCCTAGCAAACAGATAGATTTTCTTCATGATGATCTATCCCTAACCTGGTCTTTCAGGTCTTCAACAGTGTACTCATCACCAGTTTAAATCCATCCACCCTGCTGCTGGTCGTCCTTTTTTTCTCTTTCCTTCCACCTTTCCCAGCATTAGAGCCTTCTCTAGGGAACTAGGTCTTCCAATAATGTTCTGAAGTAGGATAATTTGAGACTGGTCATTTGTGCCTCAAGTGAGAACTCTGAGTTGATTTGTTTGATGACCCATTTGTCTGTTTTCTTGGCTGTCCATAGTAATCTCAGGAGTTTTCTCTAACACCAAAGTTCAAAAGCGCCAATATTCTTCCTTTTCTACTTCTTCAACATCCACCTTCTGCTTCCATAGGATGTCACAGAGAATACCATGGCTTGTATGATTCTGATCTTTGTAGGTACAGTCACATCACGACATTTGAGTATCTTTTCCAGGGCCTTCATGGCTGCCCTATCAAGTGCTAATCTGTTTTTCTTGACTGCTTATTCCTGTTGATGGTTGAGCCTAAAAGGCAGACCATCTTAATTGCCAATTCTAAAGCTGCTTGTTCTAAGATATCTTGCAATATTACTAATATAGCTGTTTCCAGCATCTACTGTATTTTATTCTTAAATTCTTCAACTTTTACTGAATCCCAATTTCAAAAAATTACCTCTTAGGAGCAGAATGGTATTCTACCATTCCTTTGGATAAACACTTTTGCATATTTCACTGTGTGAAATACATTGTTATTTTATTTATTTTATTTATTTATACATCATATTTATATAGCTACCCATCTCACACAAAGCAACTCTGGGTGGCGTATTTGTTATATTATCAATTGTAAAAGTATTTAGAGAGAGATTTTATTTTAAGCATCATTATCATCATCATGATAAATCAACTGAAGCTATAATTGCTGAACTCTTAAGAGACTGTAACTGAAATGTACTTGTAAAAGTTGCACTGCTTATCCAATTCACGGGAGCAAGTTTTCTTGATTGGAATATCATATGGATTTTCATATATATTTTTAAAAAATTTCAAACAACCCACAGGAAATATTCTTTCAAGTCCATCTGGTGCCTTAACTTTCAAAATCAACATTCTAGTTCCCCTGTAGCTGTTTTTCAAAAATATTTTTTTTCTTTTTAATCCTTAAACTTACATGAAATTTCTTTCATCAAGGATAGAAGGAAACTCTCCTGGCATAATGAAATTTGCCCTTCTGAAGGTTCTTAACATCCAAAAAATAAAGAACAAGCAATTTCCTAAGGTGATTAAGAGAGGAAGTGGGCGAACCCAGTGTCCTTTTGAAAGCACTGAACCATGGTTTAGGCAGGATGATTTTCCCCCAATTCCCAGAGCTCTCAAACCCACCAGAGACTGCTATTCTATGGTCTCTTTGCAGGGAGCCTCTGTATGAAGCAAATTTATGGGTGATCCTAGTCCTCTCCTTAATCCAGAGAGGAGTTCCAAGAAGCGTTCCATTCACCAGCTCCTCTTTCCACCACAGCCGTCGGCTCCACTCTTCACGGAGCCATCTTCAGTCTACCATTGCTTCCCCAGAAGTCCCTCATTGGCCACTTACTAATGCATAATTAGGATGTGCTAGCCTATAAATAAAGGCATAACTAATGCTATATTAACACTTTAAAATCTAAAATAGCAAAACTGCAGCATATTATTAAGAACGCTGCTAACACAAAACCTATAATTCATCTGTACAGCATACAAGTTTAATAAATAATAATATTTATTTTACATGCTTATTAATTACCTCCAATATAATTTAAATAAGTTTTAGGAAAAATGAAAAGGATTAAAAAAAACACCTTTGGAGAAAACTAAAATAAGGCAAGAAACATGCGGAGCAGGGGGAACAGAAGCTGTAGTCCACATTGATATGTTTGGATTTGACAACTAAAAGATGTGCATTCCTCTCTCCTTGAAAATGTGCTTCCAGCAAGATCCCTGGCAAAAATGGAGGACTCTGGGATGGTTGGTTGAACTGACCACTCCCAGACGACTTGACATATGGAAGCCAGTGCCAACGTGCTACAACCTGTTGTATGGCGTCAGCAGAATAAATGACTGAACAGGTTGAATTACTGTTAATCGCCATAAGCAGTGAAGGATGACTAGGACAGCTATGCCACAGTTATTCATGTCTATCACTTTAATGTTCAACTTCATGAAAAATATAATTATCTGAATACTACCATTCCATTGTATATTGATACAGAAATGTCTACTCATTTTAAATCAAGTTGGTTTATAGATAACCTGTCTATTGTACAGAACTGCTACTACTGTCATGATTCAATGTTCATTTTGTTTAAATATATATGCTGCATAAAAATGAGCTATAAATAAAATTAAATGCAAAAAAAAATCATTTCTACTTGTTCCTCCACAAAGATTAAGCTGTACATTATCTAGTATGGCTAAGAGATAAATGAATCACGAAGCCTTGCAAAATTCAATATAAAGTGACATTGTAGGACACTGAAAAGAATGAGAAGAGATATTTCTTTATTAAACCATAGATTACCACATTAGAGAAAAAAATCATATTTAATCTTTTGATTTATGGTAACACAACATTATCTAAAGTAGCCTAAAATGTACAACCATAACTCAAGCCCTAGTCAATTATAATTTGCTCTCATTGGTAAAAAAAAAAAAAAAAAGGATCCTGCTAATTACTCAAAGGTTGAACTGATTAATCTACCCAATTAACAGACAGTCTTATGTTCAATGGTATATACTAGTTCTAGTGGAATATTGAAAAGACATGGCTATGAGCTTTAGAACACACCTGCCTGAAGAATAAATTTGTTACTTTCAGAAAAGTTGCCTTTAGGGAACATCAACTTTGCACAATCCAGAAAATATAATTTGAAAATAACTGCATTTGGGTTTATCACATAAGTGGAACCTGAACTTAGCAGTACTCTTTTAGTAACTGATATGTCATCTTAAGAACTTAATAAGAAGATTTTGTGCTTGCCAGTGAAAAGATATCAAAGGAGGTCCTAACTGGACTTTGATTGGCAGGGAATTCCAGACCCTAAGAGTAATTATCAAGGTTGTTAAACATGCTTCTGTTAATGATGGAAGTGACAGAAATGTCTCTCCTGGGCAGAAATACGGGCTTTCAAATACAGACAGTCTCCAGTTTAAGAATATCTGAGTTACGGACAACTCATACTTGTGAACAGGCTGCCTATTACTAAAAATGGCAGATGGTGGTCTCCTTCCATGAACCAATGAACCCCTGAAGCTGTGCAATGCTTTCATGAACTGCTGAAGCTGTGCATTTTTAATATACAACCTGTTTTCAGCGGTTTTCAGTGGTTCATGAAAACATTGTGCAGCTTCAGTGGTTTGTCAGCTCAAGGAAAGAGAAAGCCATCCACCATTTTTAGTAATAGGCAGCCCCTTCATAAGTACAAGTTCCAACTTATATACAAATTCGAGTTAAAGCCAGACTTAGGAACGGTACTCATTCTTAACCTGGGGACTGCCTGTATTATGGTCCCAAATCATTTGGTGCAGTCTTTCCTAACTGGTTGGTATCTAAATGTGTGGACTTCAACTCCCAGAATTCACAGCAATGGACATGGTGGTTGGGGAAATCTGGGAGTAGAAATCCACACATCTGGATTGTGCCAAGATTGATGATACAATATTGAGAACTAATGTAGTTCTGTCATAATGTTGTTTATCATCCCTCTGTAATGACCTAGAAAGAACAAAATTAGAAAAGTTCTTCTTGGTCTGTTCTCTTTTTTGGAATTACTATATTGTCAATTCCAAGCTCCAGGTTCAAAGATAAAGAGACACTACCTAATTGTCATTCATTTATTAAGGAAAGTCTTACTCAGCAATATTAAAGCAACAGAATTATAATAATGATGAAAAATAATCAATTCTATTTCTGTGAACATTTCACATAATTTAGGAATGTATTCAATCAGGAATATTACCACCATAATACACAACTTTGTGATTTCTGTCACTGATAATGTTCTTCAGCCACAACAAATTTTTAAAAAATTCTTTACTTAAGAGTATATAAATGTTTTGTAAAGTCTCTAGATAAGTCAAAAGTCTGCATCCTTAATATTCAGAATAGTGGAAACAAACAGAAGGGAGCCTGTAGTTATGCACACAATCTGTCTTAGCAAAATGTCTGACAGCTGCAACACTAACAAAATTAACAGTGGATGAATTAATACCAGACACTAAACAGTTGCTATGGAAAAAACATTATCAATTTCTTTCTTTTTCCTTAATACCTAGGTTATTAATATCCAGAAAGGGGTATTCATACCAAAATGCTAATGCTTACTGTTTTAATTTTAAACAGCATGATGCATTTCTGTTGAGTGAGATACCATAAAACATATTAAACAAACCACTTTACATTTATATATGTAAATACTTTCCACATGAAAGTTACTCCTGACATAAGATTATCCTTACTTCTGACAGAGCTGGTTGAACAAAATTTTAGGAGAAAGAGGACCCTTCCCAGAGTCTTTCATGCTATGAAGGAACAGGAGCATAGCTGATGTCAGAGACCCAGGGCTTGAAAGATTCACTACCAACGGATCCTTTGGGTTCAAAAGAAATAACATATGTTAATGCACAATATCAACTCTCAGCATATATGTTTAAAGTGAATATTTCATACGATTCAATATTATAAGTTCTATTCAGACAGTAAAAGTTCTCCTAGCTCTCCTCTACCCTGCACCCTCCAACGTGTTTTCCAGATCTATTCTAAAGGGTCTTGAAAACTTGAAGAGGAAGAATTTCTTCCAGAGCATCATTTGATAAACCCATGATTTTGACCAGTTATTTTGTCTGTAATGGGCAACAATTTTGGTAGAGAACACTTGAGGGCAAAGCATCATTTATCAATGCGGAGTAACTCATAATATACAGGATTATAATACAAAATACAAATCTAATGAAGAAATCATTAAAAATTTTTAATGCAGATTTATATACAGGTAGGATAATTATTCAGGTACACCCAAGGGCCATCAGGGTTTTTCAATTTAATTTTTAAAGCCTTTACAGTACTTTCTAAGAACATCTGGTATCAACTCCAGCTGGATGGACTCACAAACTAGTGGCATTAGAGGGATTGAAAGGTTACATTTTAATTAGAAAAAAGGAAAAAGTAAACCATGCTTCAGTTTTCATTCAGCAAGGTGTCAAGCCACAGGGTTTGAACAGTAATTTGGTATGAACAGGTCAATTAGAGTAAGGGTCTCTTCTGTGCCTTCCTCTATTTAGAGAAGACTTTCTATCTGTGGAACAGATTGTGGTGCACTATACGCCTATCTGGAGGGAGGGAAAGAAGGAAATTATTTTTGTCACCTACACTCCTCCTGAATCCTCTGACACCACAACTTCCAGAAGGTCCCCCAAACCCACAAAGCAAAGGGGGAAATGGGAAAAACAGTCTTTCTCCCTTCCTCCAGCTAGAATACTCCTTGAGTAGAATTCTGCTGATTCAAACTCTGGAGCCAGCTCTATATCTAGAAAATGATAAGACTCATTGTGCACTAGAAAATGATTAAATCAAGAGTGATCATTAGATTCTTAGTGTCCACTTAATATAATGCTCAAAGGTGGGTTCAAGAGAAAGCTTACCAGTTGAGATGTTGGGCTTTGAGCTATTTTTAGCTTTGTCCCCTTTTCTTTTATTTCGCACATTAGTTCATTTAACATGTGTGTCTGTGCCAAGTTCTAAGACAAAAAAAAAGAAGCTATAGATGATAAGCAACTGGACAAATAAAAAAGTGAATTTTTATTGCTTTATGTTACAGAATGCATAAACGGTCTTCCGTGGCAGTTGCTTGACCAGATCATGGCAAAAAACCTTTATCTATTGAGCAGGACTTTTGACCTGAGGATTAATGTGCAACCGCCTACATCTCATCCTACATATCTTTTAAAAGGAAATCTCAAGACCAAGGAAATGACAAATAACTGATAGTCTCTGCTTGAAAATTCTCTTCTTGGATAAGCTGATATATACTAGGCATTTCTTTAAATACTAGGCATTTAAATACTAGACATTTATTGAAAATGTGAGTCCAAATTAGATACAAGCTAGATATCCAGGTTAGACAATTCCGGGCAACCAGTGTTGAAAAGGGAAGGAACTACCCATATAATACATATCATAGTTTGACCTGCTTATTTCTGAACTTGCGATGTTCCTCAGTGCCACAGTCACCCTTATTTCTTTGTTGTGTGATTGTTACAGATTTCTGAGCAGACAGAGTCATCTTTAGTTTTACCTGCATTACAGCATTAAAGAAACATGTGTTCCCTAAGTTATTAATGCCTTTAACAGGAACAGATGCCCAGCTGGGACCGAGGCCTTTTCCCCTTAATACGTCATTTGCTTCATTATTTTCTTCATGTAGCCATATAATTTTTGATGATGAACCTTTAATGAGAAAAGATAAGCATCAAGTCTCGCTAAACAAGTTATTGCATGCTGACCTTTAAAAAGACAAAATAATGAAGACAATGAAAAGGCCCAATTTGGAATAATACTACATTCTTGGGACATTCATTCAATGAGTTTGCAAACAGCTACTAACTAAAGACAATCAGTTCTCAGGCTCTGACTGGCAACTCTTCCTATGTTGGGAAGACACTGCAGTTGCTACTTCTTATGTTGTGTAGATTGCGTTTATGCTTATATTTTATGTAGAAATTATATCCATAATCAAATCAACTCCAAGATCATGAGAATGGCATACAGTTTTTCTTTAACAGCAAATATAAAACCCACTTTCAAAAACAATTGCAAAATGGTACAGGATCAACAAGAACACAACACTTCTTGGGCTAGTATTAGCACCTTGAATATTCTTTGGCCCTTTGGCTCCTGGTCTAAGATATATAAAGTGCTGGAGTGTGCGAAGTGGATTGGGCCAAACATTTTCAATTTCCCTGTACTATCCTGGATTACAGAATTCCTCAGTATGAGCACACTTTGAGCCTGCAGCTCTAGAAAAAATGAAAAATCTGCCACACATTGAGGCACAGAGTAATATTTGTAACTTGCTTTATGTTCTTGCTTTTTATCTGAAGTCCATGATATCATGTTCTTTGTATAAGGCTCAGTTTTTAAGGTACATAAAACAACTAGCATCTAAGACCCCCCCCCCCCCAAATATAACTCCTGATCAAAAACTCTTATCTGGCAACTTCATCAAATTAAGCACAATTTCACTATTTTTAAAAAAGACTAAAAATCACAACTCCAGTTTGTAATTTCTTCAATTATACAAGGACTTTTTTTTTAAGAAATTAAAATTTTTTTGGTTTAAGAAATTAATACAATCTTCAGAAAATAGTTTTACTTTCCAAGATATTCTGAAATATTCTAGCACTGGTTTCAGACCAAAATAGTTGTTCTTAATTCCCACTGGAATCAACGGGAAGAGTTAATAAATACCTGAAATACTATTGCTTTCAATGGAACTACATTCAAGTAATTAGTTGGAATCCAACTTCTAAATATTTCTTAACATAACCAAGAGATTCACAATATTTACCTTCCTGCTTTTGAACTATTACACAATGTAATAGGAGATACATACAGTAACCCAAATAGCTTTGCATGAAATTTGTACCATTTCAAAGTATATCCCAGATTCTAAACAATCCTTTTATGAAAACATTTCAGCATTAACAGGAAATGAGAATCATTAAGTAGAAGCTTAAGCACTACTTGAAATCATTAAATGTAGTCAGACTTACTCCAAGGTAACTAAATCACACTGCAGCCTTACATTTTTGCCTACTAAGTGAACAACAATTAATTACTTTCAATAATTGGCTTAATATCATGTTGTCCCCCATGACATAGTACTGTGGATCCTTAATCTAGATGATTCTTATCTGCAGTGAAATTAGAAAGCTCTTAACTAGTAATCTAGAGGTAATAAGAAGTCTTGAAATATGCTATTCAGCCTTAATTTCTACTGGTAACTTTCAAATTGTCATGGCTCCTGAACTAACTATGAACATTACTGACATATGTAATATTTTAAGTACTGATCAATGTTTCATGCCAATGGGAACTAGTAATGGGATTAATGGATGCCATGGTACAATACTGCAATCTTCTCTTTGATATATGAATTCATACATTTTCCCTAATGAATTACATATTGGGAATTATTAATAATGTAATGTATTAATTACATTAAGTGTTCTTGAAAAATAAGTAAACAGATCCTATCTACATAAATAGAACTCTCATGCTGAAATATTTCTCTATGTTTGTTTATTTAATTATTTGATCTAGGTGCCAATCAACTACAGGCCAACTCTGAGTGGCTCACAGAATAACAAAACAAGATAAACAAGATAAAAATACAATACAAAATAGATGAACAAGGTGGGGGATCTGTCCACACAAATACATAAGACAAGGGGCTCCATCCACCTTAACCCAAGGCCTGGGAGAACAGTCAGGTCTTTAAGGCCTTCCAAAAAGCCTTCAGGGTGGGAGCCATATTGATCTAAGGGCTACCTCATTCAAGAGGGCAGGTACCGTGACCAAGAAAGCATACTTCCTGAATCCTGCCGGATGACACTGTTTAATCAAAGCAGCCTGGATTGCGCCAAATCTGTTGGCTCGTACTGCCTGGGGAAGAAACCATGGGAGGCAGATGGTCCCTCAAACAACCAGGTCCCTCAAATAACCGGTATGTAGGGCTTTATAGGTGGTAACCAGCACCTTGAATCGCACCTGGAAACATACTGAAAAGCAGTGTAGCTTACAAAGCAGTGGTATCACATGAACATACCAAGGCATGCCCATCACTGCCAAGACTGCTGCATTCTGGATCAGCTGAAGCTTCAGAGTGATCTTCAAAGGTGGTCCCATATACACCTTAGTGTATTGCAACAGTTGAGCCATGAGGAACTGGGGTGTGAATGACTGTGACATGAGTATATTACATTTAAAAACTTATTTCCTCTCTCAGAAATGGGGACATGAGAACAGAATGCAGAATCATAATTAAATTGTAAAAGAAAAGTAAATAAATTTTAAAATATGCATTACAGCTGATACTAAGCTACATAATTTTCCTACTGTCTGGTCAATTTCATTGTCATAAAATCGTTGAAGCATAGAATGTGAGGGTTGGAAAGCACCTTGGAGAACGTCTAGTCTAATCTTCTGCCCGGTATAGGAATCTGATTCCTTTATGCTGACAATGAAACATCATTTATATTCCCTAATCTCCTCATATGAGCCAATAAAAACCAACAAGACATGCTAGAAGATCATCAACTGCTTCATGTTACATTTTTCATAAAACTGACCTTGTTTCTATGCACATAAATATCCCACAAATGTAACATACATTGATTGCACATGATCTACTTATGTTTGATAATGTTTCTGCTATTTTCTAACCAGAGGTAATCTCTGTCAAACTATCCCTAACAGTGACATCTGTGAAGCACTGCTGCTGTGTAACTATTATTGTTTTTGGTGGGGTTCACAAGATAGTTGAAAGGAAGCTAGTTCAGAAATTGTAGAACAGATCACATGTCACATGCAGGTATATCCTACAGTACATTGCTACCAATTCCTTCCACTCATAGGCAGGTGTTGTCAGAGGCAGTGGCTACACTCTACCTAATGTTAGGATTATCTTTATATAATTAGTGCATTCCTGGTAGACTACTCCTAAAATTGTCTTTCCACTAGAACAGCCAGCAACAAGATTGTAATCTAAAATATGTATTCTCCAGAGTGCCCACCCAAAATCCTGTTCAAAATGCAAGTCTGCAACATGTCTCAGGACATGGAGCAAAGCTAAAAAATGCCCCTTCTCCCTGAAAGTTCCCAGATGCCTCCCGCAAATCTGCTCTAGAGGGATGACAGACCAAAAAGAGCATATTTGGGATCATGCAAGGGGGAAGATTTGAAAGTTAATTCCTATTGTACAACTTTAAATCCACTTGCATAATTTTGGATCTAGCCTTTTAGGATTTTCAAAGCATTAAAGACAGAATTGATGCTTTCAGAATTACTGATTATAATCCTCTCTCACTTCTATGAGAATTCAAGCAAGTCCCCTTGATTTGGATTTCTTTCCTCTTCTCCCTCATTTTATGCTCTTTAACAATCCCGTACGATATAGATAAGATGAAAGATAGTACCAGCTTAAGACTTTTGTGGCTAATTTAAACTTTTGTTTTGCTGGTCCGAGTTTAACATCTATCTATTATGCCAACATGACTCATATCTTTTTTTATAAAAAAGAAATAGATGTTTTCATTTAAAGTATACATAAATGTGTCTGGAGTTTTGAGAAAAGCCTAAATTGTGCCCTTAATTTGTATATTGGTATACCACAGTTGTTGCATTTATCCATCGGCATTCAACAACATCTGGGAAAACATCTTAAAGTAAACAATGCTCAGAAGGCCATCTGGATCAAACTGTGGGCAAAAATTAGAACAGAAGCATATGGAAAAACAGATTTTAACTCCCCTTCAGCACTGCAGGATGACAAATGTCAGATCTAGATCTGTCCACGCTTCACTGTGCGATGCTTTGCAGCACCACCTGGCTCTCCTTGCCCAGCCACCAAATATGGGCAGCCCTGCCACAGCGGACCATATCTGCAGGGCAAACTTAATAAAAGCATTTCATTTCATGGTTAAATGACAGCTTCACACAAGTAGCAAGGTTCTGTCTACAGAATCTCCAACGTGAGTCATCCAGGGGGAAAATAAAGCACACCGACCCCTGAAACCCCCACACAAAACCACAGAGAACAAACAAGATAATTTTATGGCCAGACCTGGGTGCTTATATAATTATAAATGTAGGAAACCATAATTACACATCTAAAGAGTACATTATTTTAACAGTAACCAAGAGACTAACATGAATAAAATCCTGTCTTTCTAGATCTTAACATTTAATCTGTAACTCAAACTCAATCCTAAACACACTTTCCACAGAGAAGATACATTGAAAATAGTGCATCTTATTTCTTAATGAAATTAGGTGAAGTGCATGGAAATCAACTAAGCATTTGGGAGTAAGTGCCACTGAACTCTGCCTTCTTGCTTCATATATTGTGCTAAATAAATAATCTGTGTCTTATTTAGTCATGGATCATTGAATAAACCTTGGGTGACTGGATTCATACATGCTAAGCCATAAACCACTGTTTACAAACCACAACAGTCAGATTCACAACATGTTGATCTAAAACCAAATAAACTATGTTTATGGTTTAAAACAATGCAAAAGCCAAATATACTTTTGAATAAATGTTCATAAAATCAAATGGTTCATTCACTTGCACTGAAAAATAGCATAATGGCAAGCTACTTCTAAACAAGTCCCACAGCATTAATTGGAGTTACCTCAGTCTGAAATGAAATTACACAGAACTA